GAATAAATATATGTCTGTGTGCCATCGAATCATTCTTGTCTCCTGGTGACTCCCGGACTAGCCTCTACTGTTTTTCGGAAAAATTTTGGAAATGATTTGCCCTTGCCTGTTTCCTAGGCCTGAGATAGTGTGATAGTGTGTGTCCCAAGGTCATCCAATTGGCCTTGTGCCTGACTAGAACTCAAGATCTTCCAGTTTCTAGCCTGATAGCTCAACCACTATACAAAACTGCCTTTCTCTAGCTTATTTAATGTTTGTACATTAAACATCACCAAACAAAATGTAAGCAAAAACAAGAGGAGAGAGAAATATGAATAAAGACAAGGGTGTACACTATCACAGAGTTCCCCAACCTTTCCGGCTTTATGGACTATGAGTGGTGGGCAAGTGTGCATTCCATGCACAGCTCCATTTATTTATTTATTTATTTATTTATTTATTTATTTATTTATTTATTTATTTGTCAAACATGTACAAGATAACAAATATAGCTATGAACATAAACATGAACAAAGGATGTAAAGTCAGATAAATGGGGACAGTAAGACAGGTACAGTAGGCACACTGGTGCGCTTATGCACACCCCTTTTAAGGACCTCTTAAGAATGAGGTGAGGTCCACGGTAGACAGTTTGAGGTTGAAGCTGTGAGGGGTTGAGGCTGTAACAATGGAGCGGGGTAGTGTTCCAGGTGTTGACCACTCTGTTGCTAAAGTCGTATTTTCTGCAATCAAGTTTGGAGTTGTTGACCTTGAGTTTGTATCAATTGTTTGCCCATATATTATTGTGATTGAAGCTGAAGAAGTCATTGATGGGCAAGATGTTATAACAGACAATTTTGTGAATGATGCTTAGATTGGACCACAGGCAGTGCAGTTCAAAATTGTCCAAGCCCAAAATTTCAAGCTTGGAGGCATAGGGAATACTATTGTGAGTAGAGAAGTGGAGTGCTATTCTCGAGAAATACCTTTGAACCTGCTCAATAGTGTTAATGTTGGATATACAGTACAGTGTGGGTTCCAGGTGGACATGCATGTATGTCCACTGTTCATGCAAATGGAGCACATGTCCATGCTTGTCCAATGCTTGTCCAATGCTTGTCCAAGTGGGGATGTGCATGAGCAAACTTGCACTTGCCCACCACTTCTGCAGCCTGGTTCTGAATGGCTCAAGGCTTGGTAATGGCCTGTAGCTTGGAGGGTTTGGGATCCCTGCACTATCAATATATATAAAAAGGCACAGAGGTTTCCAGAGCCACTGAAAACAGTACTATGATAGTTAGCATAGAGCAATCCCAAAATGTTTTGGGGTATTTGTTGTTGATTATTCCAGGGTTAACTTTTATGATGATATAATGACATCAGGTGGAAAAATTATCATCTTTCCTATTACCTATTACCTTATCTTCTTATGACTATAACTTGTTGCTTGAATCTTACAATTTAAATTGTTTAATTAGTATCTTAGTATTATTTATGTTGATTGCTTATTTAGTATCCACGATCATTAAGTGTTGTATCTAATGTTTTATGATGAACATATTTTTACAATGACTATGATAATGATCTATCACTATTGTTGTATGTACACTGAGAGCTTATGCACCAGAGACAAATTCCTTGTGTATCTAATCACACTTGGCTAATAAAGAATTCTAATAGGATATCACTTGATCTTTCTTCTATTCACTGTAATTAAGGAATTAATCTAGTGGATGGAAATAATAACTAGTGATAGCCTTTAGTTGATCTGCACTGATTTCAATGTGCTAAAACAATTTGATCTTTTAATTTGTGGAAGTGAGACCATGAGGGAACCACAGGTATATATGTTAGACTGTGAAGTTGAAAAAACAATCCAGAAAATGGCCATGCCAATACAGTTCAGTGATTACCAAGAAAACAATACAGGCAAAATTCTGTGGATGTGACCAAGAGCTGAACTTGACTTATGATGTGTTTTACTGCAGGTTTGAAAGGAAACTACAGTCACCTATCTCCACAGCCCCCATCTCAAACACACCAACATCAGCCAAGCCTCCTACAACTGACCCCAATCCATTGGGTTCACAATCTCTGGTGATTACAGAAAAAGAAGAGCAAGATCTATTTCACAGACGAAAGCGAGGAAAAGCACCAGGGCCAGACAAGATAACTCCTTCTTGCTTAAAAGTCTGTGCTGACCAATTGGCTCCCATCTTCACCCGAATCTTGAATAAATCACTAGAGATGTGCTATGTTCCTTCTTGCTTCAAACACTCTACTATCATCCCAGTGCCAAAGGGAACTGAATGACTACAGACCAGTTACTCTAACATCTGTAGTTATGAAAATCTTTGGAAGGCTAGTGCTGTCCCACCTGAAAACCATCATGGATCTGCTGTTAGATCCCATGCAGTTTGCATACCGAGCAAATAGATTGACAGATGATGCTGTTAATATGGCTCTGCACTACATCCTACAACACCTTGAATCTCCAAATACCTATATAAGGGTCCTCTTTGTAGACTTCAGTTCAGCATTCAATACCATCATTCCAGACATTCTTCTAACTAAATTAAACCAGCTAGCGGTACCTGAACACACTTGTAAGTAGGTCATAAGCTTCCTAACAGACAGGAAGCTAGGCAGAATCACACCTTATAACTAGCTGTACAATAGCACAGCCCCCCCCCCCAAGGCTGTGTGCTTTCTCCACTTCTCTTCTCCCTATATACCAATGACTGCATTTCAAATGATCCATCTGTTAAAATACTGAAGTTTGCAGATGACATAACAGTGATTGGTCTCATTTGAGACAATGATGAATCCGCATACAGACAGGAGGTTATACAACTTGCCTCGTGGTGTAACCGGAACAATCTGGAACTGAACACACTCAAAACTGTAGAAATGGTGGTAGACTTTAGAAGAAACCCTCCCATACTACCACCTCTTACAATACTAGACAACACAGTATCAACAGTAGAGACCTTCAAATTTCTAGGTTCTATTATATCATATGACTGAAAATGGACACCTAACATCAAAAACGTCATCAAAAAAGCACAACAAAGAATGTTCTTTCTGCACCAACTCAGAAAGCTCAAACTACCCAAGGAGCTGCTGATACAGTTCTACAGAGGAATTATTGAGTCTATCATCTGAACCTCTAAAACTGTCTGGTTTGGTTCTGCAACCCAACAGGACAGACACAGATTTCAGAGGATGATTAGGACTGCAGAAAAAACAATTACTAGCAACCTCCCTTCCATCAAGGACCTGTATACTGCACAAGTGAAAAAGAGGGCTGGGAAAATATTTATAGACCTCTCACATCCCGGACATCAACTCCTTTCCTCAAAACGACGCTATAGAGCACCACACACTAGAACAACTAGACACAAGAACATTTTTTTTCCTGAAAGCCATCACTCTGCTAAACAAATAATTCCCTCAACACTGTCCAACTATTTACAAAGTCTGCACTACTATTACTATTAACTTTCTCATCACTCCTTATTACCCATCCCCTCCCACTTGTGAATGTATGACTGTAACTTTGTCGCTTGTATCCTTATGATCTATATTGACTGTTTCTGTTCTGTATTTGCATTCTTGTAAACCTGCGTTCGGATTGGCTGAGACGCACAGCAACCTGATTGGTCGAGTGTGCGGCACTGATTGGCCGTTACGAAGCAACCGCGATTGGCTGAGCTGATCGCGGGAGATTCGAACAGCTGCCATTGGCCGCAGCACCCTGTGCGAGACCAATATAAGCCGCTGCCGATCCGAGCCAAGCAAGCAGATCTACCTAACTAATAAAGAGCTTTTAAAAGTCACTCGCCTCGCGTCTCTTCTTGGGACCAATCTACCAATACAACACTGGCGACGAGGATGGGATACTGAACAAAGACCCACCCTGTACGTGGCACCGCGGCCCGGCGACCGGCATCATGGCCAGCAGCACCGCGCCACCCGCACCTTTCAACCAGGCTGCAGAGGACTGGGAATCTTACATCGATAGATTCCTCATGTTCCTAGAAAGCAGCAACCTAAAGGACGCAAATGGACAGAAAAAAAGAGCCGTGTTCCTGACTCACTGCGGGCCCGCAGTGTTTAAGATGGCGAAAGCCCTCGCCAAGCCCCTCGACGTGAAAGCGATGGACTGGGCTGACCTCGAGCCACTGCTGCGAAGCCACTATGCGCCCGCTGTGCCCACCCTCATCCGCCAGCACAACTTCTACCGGAGGGATCAGAAGGAGGGTGAGAGTATCAGCGACTTTGTGGCTGATCTACGAGACCTCGGGGGCATGTGCGGGTTCACCGACATGGATGAAGCCCTGCGAGACCGTGTCGTCCTAGGACTCACAGACCCCATCCTGCAAAGCCGACTAATGGCGAGGGGCGACATATCCCTCACTGATGCCCTCGCCGAGGCAACTGCAGTGGAGGCGACCAGGAAATCGGTGGCCCAGATGCGGCAAGCAAGCACAACGGACCGGACCGCAACAACCGAAGCGGCCCCAGCCCCCGAGAAGCACGCCAAAGCCAGTCGCCGAGCAACCACCACCACACATCATGGCGACCTCGACTCCCTCACCGACACCGAGGACGACGAGGAGGACATCCACTGGCTCCAGGCGGAACGGGACCGGCGCGAGTGACGAGGTCATAAGTCGGGATTCCAGTGTGCCGGGTGTGGGGGTGACCATCCACGGGCGGAATGCCGGTTCCTCGATGCAATCTGCCGGCACTGCGACAAGCGGGGTCACATCGCCAGAGTGTGCCGGTTCAAGCGGAACCAGAGTCCCTGGCATCGAGACAGCAGCCCCGGAGATGAGACGGCACCCCCCCAGAAACAAAGACCAGCATGCTGAGAGCTGATGGAGCCGGGAAGGAAGAAACAGGTGGCTCAATGAGGCTCGACAACGAGAAGAGACCCACCAAACGGTTGTTATCGGCCACTCTTCAAACTGGGACGCCCGAAAGGTACACGTGGAGGTTGGCATCGAAGACCGACCATGCAAAATGGAGGTGGATTCCGGATCGTACTTCTCCATGGTCGCTTGGCGGGAAATCAAGCGCCTGGTGCCCACCATCCACAGACACGAACTGGAAAGCCAGAAGCTCATCCTCAAGGACTACCAAGGGAACCGCATCCCCGTAGTCGGAATTGGACACTTTAAAATTACATTCAAGGGGCACACCAAAATACTTCCCCTCACTATCGTGGACAAGGACCGCCCTAGCCTTTTGGGACTACAATGGTTCGCACCATTAGGAATAGAGGTGACGGGCACCAACCACATCGCTGAGGCAGACTGGGAGGAGCAGCTCGCAAGAGATTTCCAAGAGGTCTTCGACGACAGCCTAGGCAAGTACCGAGGGGCCCCGATATCCTTCAACCTAGACCCTAACATTGCCCCAATCCGCCTTAAACCACGGCGGGTACCCTTCGCGCTCAAACCTAAGATCGACGAGCAGCTAAACAAGCTCATCGAGCAAGGGGTACTTGAGCCAACAGACCATGCCAGGTGGGAGACCCCCATAGTCACCCCGGTAAAGCTAGATGGGTCAGTGAGAATTTGTGGTGACTACAAGGCCACCCTCAACCGCGCCCTGCAACAGAGCACCTATCCCGTCCCAGTAGTACAGCACCTTCTGCACTCACTGGGGGGAGGCAAGGTTTTCGCGAAACTTGACCTGGCACAAGCCTACCAACAATTGCCGATCGACGTGGAAACCGCAGGCGCAAACCATAGTCACCCATCGCGGAGCCTTCTGCTGCAAGAGGCTCCAATTCGGAGTCAGCGTAGCCCCGGGGGTTTTCCAGAGCCTGATGGAAAGGCTGCTACAAGGCATCGAGGGGGTAGTGCCCTATTTTGACGACGTGCTGGTGTCAGCGGCCAACCAAAAACAATTGGAGAGCCGTTTGAGGGAGGTGCTTCAAAAATTCAAAGACTCGGGGTTAAAAGTCAAGAAAGAGAAATGCCAGCTGTGCACCGAGAGAGTCAAATTCCTAGGGTACCTCCTAGACCAGCACGGGATCCACCCAACGGAAAAAAAAATCAGGGCCATCAAGGAAGCCCCCAGACCGAGAAATAAAACCGAACTACAGGCGTTTCTGGGACAGATTAATTTCTATAATGTTTTCCTGCCCCAAAAGGCGACCGCAGCGGAACCGTTGCATAGGCTGTTGGACAAGACAGCCACCTGGAACTGGGGAAGGCGAGAGGAAAACGCATTCAACCGGACTAAAGACCTACTCACATCGGACGCTGTTCTCATCCAATACAGCGAGACCCTACCACTAGCAGTCACTTGCGACGCATCCCCTTTCGGCGTCGGGGCCATCCTCAGTCACACGCTCCGGGACGGAAAAGAGGCGCCCATCGCCTTCTTCTCAAGAACCCTCTCAAAACCGGAAAGGAATTACAGCCAGCTGGATAAGGAGGCCCTGGCAATCGTCGCCGCCGTAAAGAAGTTCCACGAGTACCTTTACGGCAGAACCTTCACCGTGATCACCGATCACAAGCCACTGCTCAGAATTCTGGCGGGGGACAGGGCCACCCCGAACATTCTATCCCCGAGAAAGACAAGGTGGTCCGAATTCCTTGCCGCCTACAATTACAGGCTCACCCATTGGCCCGGTAAGACAATCTCACACGCAGACGCTTTGAGCTGCACTCCATTGCCCGACATGGACGCTGACCCAGCACCCGCCACATCCACCCTGATCATAGAGACATTACCCAATCTCCCCCTAACCACATCAGACATTGCCCAGGAAACCAATAAAGACAAACGTCTGGCGCGGGTTTTAAACTGGGTGGAGAAAGGGTGGCCGGAAAAAGACGACGATGAACAAGTCAGGACTTTCCGAAGCCGGCAAACAGAACTCTTTACACAAAAAGGTTGCTTACTTTGGGGGGACAGGGTGGTTATCCCAGAAAAACTACGGAAAAGGGTCTTGGACATGTTACACGAAGGGCACCTGGGCATCGTTAGAACAAAAGCCCTGGCCAGAAGTTACGCTTGGTGGCCAGGGATGGACAAGGAAATCGAAGCCTGGGTGGCATCTTGCAGGCAACGCCAAGAATCCAGGCCAAGCCCTCCCGCCGCCCCAATCCTGGAATGGGAAACCCCCAGAGGGCCATGGTCCAGGATTCACATAGACTTCGCCGGGCCCACAAAGGGACACACGTTCCTGATAACGGTAGACGCTTACTCCAATTGGTTGGAGGTAAGCAACATGAGAACGACTACCACAGAGGCCGTTATCAGAGAACTCAACAAACTATTCTCAACCCACAGCCTCCCAGATGTTATTGTATCTGACAACGGGCCCCAATTTACTGCGCTACCGTTCGAAAAATTCCTAGCGGAACGGGGAATACGGCATGCGCTGACAGCGCCAGCACATCCGGTGGTGAATGGGAGGGTGGACCGAATGGTACAATTTACCAAAAAAACAATCCAAAAAAATGAAACCGGGGAAATACAAGAAAAGATCAATAAAATGCTATTTATACAACATATAACTCCAAACACGACAACCAACAAAAGCCCAGCAGAACTATTAATGGGGAGGAAATTAAGGTCCCCACTAGACAGGCTGCACCCCACATACAACCCCGAGAAACCCCCCGACTCATCCAGCAAGCACCGAACGTTCGCACCGGGCGACACAGTATACGCCAAGAACTTCACAGGGGACCCACTCTGGGTACCAGCAACTATAACCCAGGTAACAGGTCCCCGCTCGTACCGGCTGCAAACAACCGACGGACGAGCATGGAAAAGACACATCGATCAGCTAAGATTGAGAACCAATGTGGGAAATACAGCCGACATGGAAACCAGAGGGGGAAGGGGAAACCCAAACAGCACCCAAGAAAGAGAAGAAAACCCCGCAACGCAAAATAAACAAACCCAACAAGGAAGAAACCAGCAATACTCACCAGAGACAGATGACCAGCCTGAAGCCTCACCTGAAAGGAACAGCCCAGCCAGTTCCACCAGCCCGGAAAGACCAGGCGGGAACAACGACGCCAGCAGCTCAACCAGCCCGGGTAGACCGGGAGGGAGCTGCGGCAAAAGGCCCGACTCACCCTTCCAGGCGGTTCCATCGATGAGGCGGAGAGCAACACAGAACCCGACCGAACCGGCTGGAGACCAAGGAACAACTAACCTGCGCAGGTCCAGTAGACAAGTACGGAGCCCCGCCTACTTACGGGACTACGTTATATAGGACTGAACCAAGAGGGGAGGGGTGTTCTGTATTTGCATTCTTGTAAACCTGCGTTCGGATTGGCTGAGACGCACAGCAACCTGATTGGTCGATTGTGCGGCACTGATTGGCCTTTACGAAGCAACCGCGATTGGCCGAGCCGATCGTGGGAGATTCGAACGGCTGCCATTGGCCGCAGCACCCTGTGCGAGACCAATATAAGCCACTGCCGATCCGAGCCAAGCAAGCAGATCTACCTAACTAATAAAGAGCTTTTAAAAGTCACTCGCCTCGCGTCTCTTCTTGGGACCGATCTACCAACACAACAGTTTCCTAGTATGATTTGATTGCTATTGTACCCTATGACTGTTATTAAGTGTTGTACCTTATGATTCTTGACTCTTCATGAATGTATATTTTCTTTTATGTATACTGAGAGCATTTGCACCAAGACAAATTTCTTGTGTGTCCAATTACACTTGGCCAATAAAGAATTTTATTCTATTCTATCCTATCAGAAACTTAAAGGAGACTTGCTTTTGCTGCTGTTTAGATATATCTTATAATTTGGTGCCCTTTTGTTTACTGATTCAGAGATGTTTCCTTAATTCATAACATTTCCTTTGGAATACTGTCATGCCTTTGGCTGTGGGTGAGATGAATATTAAAATACATGAAGAATCAACTTGGCAGGTTTTTTTTAAAATGTTATTCTGAAGACAAGCAATTGCTGTGTCAGTAAAACTGGCAAGCGTAAAAAGTGGGGAGTGGGAAAAGCTTCCTTCAACAAATTTTCCTGTTTCCAGGCTTTATATTATAATCCACCCACAGTAAGGGTTGAGGGAAATAAACAACTTGCAAATTTGAAAATGGATGCTTAGAGAAAATCCCTGTTATTAAGAATTGAGGACTTGCTGGAAAAAAAACCCCTAGTACTGTACTTCTAATTTGCTAAGTGCATTACAATCTTCATTAGGTTTACTGCAACGACAACCTTTTAAGCAGATCATGATTCCCATTTAACAGATGGAATTACTGCCGCGAGACTTGGTTAGGGTTACACACTTAGTCCATGATAAAAGTGGAACTGAAACCGAGGCCTCTCAGATTCAAAGCTGACACATTTCTTTTTATAGACATATTTGCAATTGTACACATCACTTTTCCATGAGGTGATACCTCATGAGATTCACCTGCCTGGATGGTGTCACTATTATGAGCAGTCTTTTCCACAGAATGTATACCTTACTATATTGTTTGTCTGATCAACTCCCACAATTCTCCAGCTATTCTACCCTACAAGGAGAGCCAGTGTTCGACAATGGTCCAAGTATTGAACTAGGACCAGAAAAAGACTACCTCAATTTTGTTCTTAGCCACAGAAATTCACTACTTGATGTGAAATCAAAAAGGGAGTAAGGAATGGTAGGTACAAGAGCTTATTATAGCCCCACACCAGTGAAGCTTTTATCTATGATGCTGCCATTTAGTCTCTCATGATACCTCCCTCTTCCCATTGTGGACAGCTCTGGATTAAAAGAAGTAAATATGCCTTTCTCATGTCTAAAATTGATTAAAGACTACCCTTGTGGATTCCAGAGAAATATCCTAAAAAGATGGCTGGTGATTCATGATCACTTCAAGAGGCTGGTAGCTTATCTTGTAAGCACTGGAAATAAGAAGAAAAAGTAAAGGGGAAAATCAAGAAAACAAAGCATTTCAAAGATGCTAAGGACCTATTTGTGGGACAGCAGGGAAGAAGGTATTGGAAAAGGGTTAGCTGAACCAGGAGAAATGTGGGTAAGCATCCTGGAGTGGCTCCCAAGAAGCAAAGTCAAGAATGCATGCAACAGAGCAAGAGATATTATCTGGTGAAAGCACTAGTAATCAGTGGCGGAAGCAGCAATAGAGTCAATGAGAATTGCGAGGATGTTCAAGGATAAATCGGATAAATGTTAGAAATGTCATCAGATACCTGGTTCATATTACCACATGTGGTGGATATGCTCGGATGCAAAAAGATATTGGACTATAATCCACACATGGTTGGAAAAAATGACAAAACAACACATAGACTTTAAACCTGAGATATTTTTATTGGGAATTATACTGGAAATATATTGTAAAGAATTGAAATATTTGATTGTAAATGTTTTAACAGTGGCTAGAAATGTATTTGCTAAGAACTGGAAAAATGAAAAAATACCTATGCAGGAGGAAATTATTAAGAAAATCATGGACTGTGCCGAAATGAGTAAATTGACATTTGAAATTAGAGAACAAGAGGATAAACAATTTTATATGATATGGGATTTATTTTATCAACGGTTAGATAAAAAGACATGGTAAAGAAATAGACTAGTAAGCCTTACAATAAAAGTTAATAGATTGATATATACAATATAAAATATATAAC